TCCATTGCACCAATGGCATTTTGAGCTGTTGTGGTAGCCCCAGCACCACCTGGGCCCTGCAAGGCTGGGCATGGACTGTAGGTCCAGGTCGTGGTCTCTCTGCTGAGGTTGTGGGCAGGAGGATTTAAGCAGTGGGCCATACTTCATAACGTGCAGGACATATAAGTCATGGCATGCTTGGTGACACAGTTCTCACCACAGCTCTGGACAGACTTCTCCACTTTCTCACCAGAACTGACTCACTCTTTCACTCATGCATCTTTTCTCACCCTTTTTCCATCTTTTTCCTTGGTGGGACAGAGGATTCCAAAGAGGAGACATATTTATTGACCCTTTTTCCCTTTTAACAAAAAGCTTTATGTTGCTGTGGGTGTTTCATCCTATTAGATGTCACTGAAAGTCAGGAGGAGCTCAGCAGTGACACTCGATGGTGGTTATGAGGGTGGTGAGACCCTGGCCCAGGCTGCCCAGAGAAGCTGTGGCTGCCCCATCCCTGGGGGTGTTGAAGGGCAGGTTGGATGGGGCTTGGAGCAGCCTGGGCTGGTGGGAGGTGTCCCTGCCCATGCAGGGGTGGGACTGGATGGGCTTTGAGGTCCCTTCCCCCTCAAACCAGTCTGGGATTCTGTGAGGTCCATCAAGTGTTTGCTGACACATCATGTACTCTGCCTTCTTGGACCTGGTTTGCTGTCATTGATCTGAGCAAAGCTCTAGTGAAACTCAGGGGTTTAGTGTTCATAAGCTGAGGCTGGACTTGGGAAGGTAGGTGGTCAGTAAGACAGACAACACCTGGGAGAAGGTTTCCTTGATTTCAGCCCTGCTTGGGTGGTCAGACCCTGACTCATGAGAGGAGTCTTGCCAGAGACAGGTCCTGGACTTCGGGGCCTTGTCCATCAGGTAAGAGCCTGATCCTTGTTGGTCTGTGATGGCCTTTCTCCTGCAGACTTCTCCTGATTGGAGGACAAATGGCCAACCTGATCTCCAGGCTTCCCCTCAGATTAAGAAAGTTGGGTTGCTTGTAATTTCTCCGCCCTTTTTTGAGTGTTCCTGCTCCTCCTCGCTCCAGTTGGGCTGCCCTGTGATGGGTCCAAGGACACTGAGAGTAGGAGAATTAACACCCTGGGGGACAGAGAGTTTCAGTCCTGCTGGGCAGTGTGTTCTCAGCTGTAGAAGTGGGGGGTGGCTGGTAAAGCTCCACGGAGTGTCCAAAGCCTGTGTCTGTTGGTGCTAAGGGCTTGAGAAATTGACCTCAGTTGACATTCCAGATTATAAACAGTTCTGTAGCAGCTTCACTGTCATCAGACCTGGCAAGTGAGCTGTAGTATCCAGAAGAGGGTATTGGTGGGAAGTGTCATCAGCACCAGGAGCTCTTGTGGTGTGTGTGTAGCAGAGGTGTGAATGTGTGGTTGCACAACTCTTCCGCAAAGAGTGAGGCTGTTGGTGGGTGCAGGGCTGAAAAGCCACATTTTTGTGGATAAGGAACCTGAAATATGACATACAGGAGATTTAGCCAAGAACACTCATGCCCCTTTGATATCTGTCATCTGCTATTCAAGCTTAATCAGCTTTTAATGAGAAATCTGGGAAGCTTTCCGGGCTGCCACATGTGAAGAGACGTAAGTCTAGTTTGTCTTGTCACTCTGAAGTCCATAAGGCAGATTGTAAAATAATGTGATGCAGATAAAGCTGAGAGTAGAGGTCTTAGGTGAGGTATGAGCACAGTCTTCCACTGCCCTTGTTGCTAGGCTGTGGTGTGGGTGGCAGAGCAATGCTGAGTGTTGAGATGCAGAGGATCCTCTGCACAGTTGCTGGTAGGAAATCTAAGATTTCTATGCCTGAGAAGGCTGGTGGATCGAAACACTTGGGGTGTTTCCTAAAGATGAAAGGAGTGCTTAGACACTGCCATTCATGCCAGTACTTGCTGGAATGTAAGTGAGGTAAAAATCAGTGAGAATTCCCAGTCCTGCTTCATCCACCAGCTCTGCTGGGTCACAGACCACCAGCCAGACTGGGACTGCAGAACCACTTGGCTGCTCTGCATAGTTTTTATGCCACATTAAATATTAAGTTAAAAAATAAAAATAATCCTTCCCTGGCTGTTTGCTGCCACTCTCCATAAGTGCTCTCTCCATTTACAACCAGTGACATGTGTCCAGATCA